CTTCTCAGGCTTGGTGATGTGTTGTCTCCACTGTGTTATGCCAGCCAGTCGGTTCCGTTTTCGTACCTCACCTGAGGCTCGGTACGAAAGCTTTCCCTAGACCCTCACCACTCACACACTTCTGCCACCAGGTGAGGTGAAACACGGGAATCGATCGAAACAGCGTCTCATTCTGGTTCCTTTGCTCCACACCGGTCGGTACGGATGTCCAAGGCCGGAGCTCCCGAACGAAGCCTTACACTCAGAGCTCACGCTTTGGCTTGAGGAGACGTTGGTCCGACCGTTGGTCGAGTGGGCCCCCAAAGGTGGAGGTGGAAGACCGGCCAAGTGGAGAACCTGCAAATACCGGAAAGCATGGCCTTCCCCACGTAGGTTTTCTGCGGTTACCAGGATCATCCAGGATCATCCTGTTTGGGTGTCCTGGTGTTCGACTACCCTACCCTACGTAAACAGGTCTCCAGACAGGGCACCCGGACAGGAAGTGCTAGGTTTCCTGTCGGTTAGGTTTGAGGTTTGGGCGGGTCTAGCTACCTTCGGACGTGGCCTACGGCATGTTCTTTTCCGTTGCTGCTCTTCTTGTGTCGACGGTCCGAGCGTCGATGGCAGGGCTGGTCTCACTGGCCAATCATCCTGGTGATGTGGATGGCGTGGCCCCGAGCTCGTTCGGATGACCATCAGTTCTCCGAAGACCAAGCAGATGGTGAACTCACTTACTCCACTTTCCACTTTCATAGCTCGGGGGACGGGTACTTGTCCACCAAAACCGGCTGTGGGTTCTTCAACCTGGAGCCGTTTCACCCACTTAGGTTGACCTCCTGGTCATTCTATTCACTCTGTTTCATTTCTTGTTCGGATGACCCGACCAGCCTGCGGCCTGCACCGATCTACGTGTTTGAGCAAAGATTGTGGCATGTATTGTGGTGTTTCTACAAGTCAGGGGGCCTTAATGTACTGGAGTTGGTCATAAAAAGAAGACACTACTCAATGAGGTAAGGAGCCAGGTTGTACTGGGTCTTTGGGCCTTTGATCTGTAGACTCGTAGACTCCTAGACTCTCCATTTCACCTCCCCAAGCCTCAAGAGGTTGCAGAATTCATGTCTTGGAGGGTTTTTGTTTGATCAAGAGTCTACCTCAAGGCTTTCGTGGTTGAATTTGTAGGGTTGACACGATGTAATGCTGGAGACATCTTACTTCATTCCCGAAGCCTGTGGTTCCTATCATGGTTTCGACGGCAGTTTTGCTGTTTCCACCTGCCAGGAGCATAACCTTGGAGTGCTCAGCAGTTTGTTGGCTTACCACGGCCTGGCACCCAGAGCTGAGTGCTTAGACCGTCCGGACCGTCAGCCGAGACACCTACACCTGACGGACCGGACCACTTCACCCCACACCGAGCGACCGGACCGAGCGATCTGACCGACTCTGCTTGGTCACTTCGAAGGAACTACCGGTATAGTCGCATGGAGTTGGGTCTTGTGGCTCGTCCCATCCGGATGTGGAGCATTGCACCGGGCACCTGCTTCCTCCATGGATAGCACCCCGACTGCTGGTAGGCCCAGCCTACATGGGGTGGTTGACCGCTGACCGAGGGGTCGCAGGAGATCGAGTGCGCACAGTGCGCTCTGAAGAGCTCGACGCACAGCACAGCGCGCACACGCTGTCCATGTTTCAGATGCTTCTTCGACCCGGAACAACCAGTTCACCCCATCCAACCCGTTTTCCCTGTTTATCTGGGATTGCAAAAGGCATGGGTTGTGAGTTCCTATTTCACCGGACGCAGTGAGTTCCCAAGTTCGTTCCGCAGTTACTGTACATGGATCCATGGGTAGTGCTTTTCAACCTCCCTCAGGCTACACCACGCTGGAGCTTCTAGAAGATCTCACCTCAGAAGAGCTGCAGGACATCACCAGGGAAAGAGTTTGTTTTTCTTCAGGGGGAGGCGAGCTACAGTGGTTTGAGAGTATATAGATGGCACTGGCACCTGAAGATGTTTGACATAGATGGGGAACCATATACTGTAAACCACGGACCTTGGGGATTGTGCCATCTATTCTGAGACCACTTAGATCACTATAGTATTGAGGCCATATTTGGATCCACTATAAGAGACCCATGCAGTATTCAGTATCATACAGTATACATAAGCTGTAGGCTGTAAGCTTGCGACCCTAGGTATACAGTAGGCCTATGTTGTGACCTATAGGCTATGTATACGTAGGGCTTGTCACATTGTTGTGACCTTCCTTAGTCCACAAGATTGGCTTCGTGGCCACAGAGCAGATGATGATGATGATGATGATGATGATGATGATGATGACGTGGTCTTCATTGGCCCTTTCAAGGGTCTACTGGTTCTTATCGGCGGCCTACCGTGTTGACCCTATGTTCGGCCCCAGTCAGGGCAAGGATGGCAAGGCAGGGCGCCCACTTATTGAATGGAGTTTTCGTGGAGCAAAGCTCCAAAGGCGAGTTCGATGCAAGGATGGTGGGAATAGGAGTGAGCAAACTTTCAGTGAGTGGGCCTGATTAGGCTGAGTCAAACAAAAAAGGCAACAACATAGTTGCCTCAGCCCAGAGTTACAATCATTTGGTATACATTAACGGGTGCCAGCATACCTAAGTGAGGATGAGTGGCAAGTTACCAATTGAGCTCAAATGTGTAATCATGCGCAATTCGAAAGACATCGCAAGACCATTTCCAGGAGATCACCGTTGTGCAGATTCTTCTCTTGCTGGGTCGTCCTGCGGCTTTTGAAACTCGCAGGAGTTCCTGAGCCTCCTACGACGAGGTAACGGATGTGCCGTTGGGCGGCGGAGCATGCTTTTGGGGCGGGGGTGAAAAATGGTGAAACGGTGTGGTAACTGGACCTGATTGGACTTGGTCAAAGATGTATACAACCCAGCAGTTCCAAAAGGGTTCCTTGATGGAGGTTAATTAGGGGTGCCCATTGTCCACTGACATAGAAGCTAAACGCCACCCCTTCGAATCTCCTGATTTAGGTGAAGGACCTGCAATCAATGCAGATCTGTGAACGTTCCGGGTCAACTTGACTGACCTCGGGAGGGTATCAATTAATGAGATAAGGTAGTGAAGAGGAACCACCTACGCATCGAACACTGTGGGATTTCAGACCCCGAGAATCTCCAGATTGATAGGTCGGTCATTCCCCACTTCACCTACTTCCGTGACAAAGATGTACATGCGATAAAACTCATTAGCCAATTGCAATACTTGATCAATGTAGTTTTGGAATGTCTTTGGCTCTTGCCATGCAACAGGATTTTCCGGTCGACACCTCCGTGACGTGGATTTTAGCACGTAAAAATGAGTTCATCCCACTTTTTTGGTTCATCAGGAGGCTCCAGTCGTACCTTCTGAGAGGGTGTTTGGGGTGGGTGTCAGGAGGGTCCAAACACCTGAGGAGGTACTTGGAGCCCAAGGGAGAAGAACCCTCATGCTGCCTGCTAGCGAGTCACCTGTTCGACCACTTGCGGCAGACACGCTGCGGCAGACACGCCGCGCTTCGCGCTTGGGTTGCACTCGCAGGCCATGCTGCTCGCATGCGCCGGGCATTGAAGACCTTGCGTGGGGGACGCTCAGGGCGGTTGGCAGCGTCTGCAAGCAGTTCCCGGTGTTTTTTTTTTTTTTGTTTGAGTACTGCCTGGTGGATGAACAACCATTGAGTTGATGTCTTTCAATGTCTTTCATGCTTGTGGTGACTTGTTTTTAACGGGGAAAAACTGCAAAGTCCAAGACACCCATTTCGGGATGTTTCGCTGAAGAAGGAAGGACGTTTCGCTGATGTGTCATTGAACCTGTTTGGGCTCAGACCGTCAGACCGAACCTCGTGAAACGATGCGGTGGAATGGTCAGACGTCATACCGCACCTGAGGGCACGAGCCCAAACGGAGCCGTAACGGGTGGAGTCTTGTTCAGCACATTGCATCGTGCCAAGCTGCCCGACCTCAATACGACGTACCGCAGTTCGCCGGTGTTTGTGACCCTCTTGAAGCGTTGGAAGTCCCACACCAGTGGCGTGCTGGACCAGGCAACGTGCTGGCTTTGTTGATGCTCTACCCATCAACGATAGCGGACCAGATACATATTATATCAAATTTAAATTTATATATAGTTATATGATATATGCATTTCCGTTCCGGCCGTCAGGATATGTGATTTGTGCTAAACCATCGTTGAGGGAAAGACAAGTTTTTTTTTCACCAGACTGAGTGCTGGAGCTTGTTGGCGCTTGATCCACTAAGAAGTAGTGTCCTCGTAAATGAAACCACAAACAGAAAGGGTTTCCACTCCAATGCACTTACCATCGCTGACTCAGCTGACCCTTTGCAAGCCGAGATTATATAGTTTGGAGATGTTTTGGGCAAGTCTCCAGTCTCCTCCTGGACCTCTCTGAATTACAAAGCCCAATGGGTCGCATGGTGTGTTGAAAAACCCGTTCGAACGGGTTGAGCCGTGCTACCAAACAATAGCAATTAACATATCAATTTGCTATTTGGATGTTCATGAGTACGTTATGTGCTATTGATATGCTATTGGATGAAGAAGCACATGATTGGACACCGGATGGTTCGTGACACGTGAAGGCGCCATGGACCGTTCCACACTTCCCTGGAGCTGAACGCAGGGGCTCAGAACACACGAACGACCAGGACCCGCCGTGCATGTTGAGACGCCCCTCCCGACGTATTTCCCAACTAACTGTGTTCAACCATGAACACATATCGTCCTGAACATCCTGAACCATTCCAAGGTATATATGGTGTTTTGGGAAGCTTGGCTCAAGATCTTGCAAGCATTCTTTAAACATTTAGCTGAAGTGGCAATGTGGAGCGGAATAGATGTACTTGGCAGAGCTGTTTGTTGAAAGCAGCAAAGAAAAAAGCCCTTCAGTGGCCTGGCAGTTGACCTGATTAGGAACTATCAAACATTCAAACACCGGGAAAAAACACCTGAGAGAATATGGAAAGCTTACCCCGCCATGATATGTTTTTTCTGGTCATTTGGATCTGGTCATTTCCTGCTTCTTCCGCCATGTGTGGCGGAGATAAGATTCGCAAAGCTCCGTATGTCACGCAGCTCGGAGAGGGAACCGGTGGAGCCGCTCGGAGCGGCGCACAGGGAACCGGCACCCCAGCTTGGTCTTCGAAAGCTGCAGAACTGCAGATGTTTGACCCGAAGTCCAAGGGTTCTTGGCAGTTTTGCCTCAAATCAGACATGGAAAACCAATCCTTATGAACATCTGTTCGCCCTCGCTCTCGGCCTATCGCAGCTCTTCCTTGGCCCTGAAAGGATTGATGCTTCCCGAAGCTGAGCTCCGGGCAGTGGGAAGTGCTCCCAAATTTGGGGGGGCTCAGACAATGACTCCCTGTGCAACAGCTTTTTCTTCCGAAGGTATGCATGAACTGTCTATAGGTTCTGACTCCGACTTGGTCACTTCGCGGTAACATGCCCAAATCTTGGACAGCATTGTTTCTTTCTGATGAAGTGATACGGCGGTAGCTTGCAGCCCTAGAGTGGAAGAAATGAGCAAGAGACCTATTCGATGGACTTTTTATTTTCACTGAATGTGCTGGGCACTCGGCTGAAGCAGCTGGTGCTTGGCACTCAGCTCATATAGGAAAATGCGGCAATGCGGTTGTTTCAACTCATACGCATGGGAAAATTCAGAAACCCAAGACACGTTCAACTCGTTAGATCTCAAGCCCTAGTTGGTATCCCATTACCAGCAACAATTGAGAGATTACTGTATCACCTCTTTTGTAGGGCGATGTCCCAACCAGGCTCCACCACCCACTGAAACTTCATGGGATATACCGTGATATACCCCAGGGATATGCCCAACTCCTTCTTGCGGCCATCACAGCTGAACTGGCTGAGCTCTCTTCATGTAAAGCCTCTTCATGTGGGGGCTTGAAATAAATATAATCAAATCAAGAGTCTACAATATCCCAGAATTGCTTTTAGGGAACCTCTACAAGAAACCCATATATAGTTGTTTGGTGAACACAAGGGCTTCCTGTTGACGTCATTTCCCTTGAAGCAATTCATGGCCATTTTTCGCTTGTCTCTTTCGAGGGGGAGGGGGTCATTGGGTCAGACCGCCCTTGCTTCCGTCTCTTCGCGAAAACGGAGGCCTCAATCTTTGAAGGCCGTGCCCAAAGAGAAGGCCGTGCCTCGCTGTCGCTGTCGGATCCGATTCGAGTCCGTGTCCCGTCCGGACCGGTCCCGTGAGAATGGGACTGGAAGAGCATGCACCCCCCTGGCACCACCCCTGGCCGTGCCACTCGGCAGTCCGGACTGGCAGTCCCAGACAGGTCGCGTTAGGGGTCCTGAAGACCTCATGGAGTCGTGTTATATTTCGACATGGGCGAAACCTACCTCCATTGAGAGACGATGATTTGAGAGACGGTGACGGTGCTACTGTAGGGGGTCTTTCCCTAGCGAACCTGGCCTCCCGGTGCGCCAGGAGGTGCGAGGGGAGGTGCGACCACTTCCAGCGAGGTCAAACTGCAGGGTAAGTGACTGGGTTCATTGGGAATTCAACCCATTGGGTAGAGAGGCCGCACTCTTTTTTAGCACCTTTTTTAGAGGACAGAGACGGAGTGGCAAGACCGCAGGCGACCCACTTCTAGAAGGAGAAATCAAATGTCATGTGCTATGACCTACAAGAAGGATACTGATACTAGATGTAGAATATTGTAGAATACTAATTCATTGATTCTTCATTCAGGGTATTGAAGAAGGTGGACACCCCAAGCACACTTTTTCAATCTTCTGTACGCTCCATCACCTTCTTTGAAGCCTTAGGGTGCTTGATTAAGCATTTGTGTTCTTGAAGGTCAGTTAGATCCCCATGAACCTTCAAATGGACGCTACGAACGGGGCTCCTGGCATCGCTACGAACGGAGCATGCACCAGCAAACTCCGCCAGGCGAAGCCAGGTGATTTGGTCGTGGAAGAATTTCCCATCACCTTTGGCGGCTATACCTACCCCCACGGACGCATCGCCTATATTTCCGGCCGTGGGCCCCGCCCCGTGGTGCTGGTGCATCACAACTATGCGGGATTGAAGCAGTTCGATGTGGAATCTGGGCAGAGGAGGAGTTGGTGCTCTTCATTTGTGTTTGTTTTGTTGTTTCTTCTTCTGGTGTCGATGTTCAGTATTTCTGGCCGAACTGGATGCCTTCAAGTGTGTTTTAAATGTTATCTTGAGACTCCTTTTGGACTTGTCCCAGGAGAAGCGACTCGCAACGTGGAACCTCTCACCCATATAAGAAATCTGGAAGTTTCATGTGGAAGTCCTGAACAAATGTCATGTGTGTGTGTGTTTTGCAGCGGATGGTTGCGATTTTCTGGCTGTGCCTTAGATCAACAATGAATAGGGTACGGTATGTCCCATTACCAGCACCGGTTGGCTAAAGATTATCACTACTTTTGAAAACGGCCTTTACTAACAATAATCATCCACTTAATGGGAAAACTCGAAATATGACCACAAACTCAGGATCAGGCTTGCTTTATTGCAAGGCGCAGCTGTGGAAGCGTCCGACAAAATTCAGGGAGACTTCCCCAAAGAAGCAGTTTTGTTGGGAGTCACTTTGACATGGCACCACATCCAGCTAAACCAACAACTAGAAATGCAAAGATATGCAAAACTATGCAAACATGTTCCTGCATTCCATGTGCTTCCCATCCAATAAATATATACATATATCCAAACAAAACAGTTTTTGTTTCTTGTGTTTTTGTCATGTGTGTTTATGTTCATCGATCCTACTTAGAGCGCCTGTGAATTAAAGGATGCGCACCATCCTTTGCGCAGGGCGGGATATGTGGGCCTGGCAGTGGATTTGTACCAGGACACCGGATGAGTGCGGTTCCTGGCGGGCGATGGCAGCACCGATCAGTTGACAGAAAACGATCGGATGAAGAAAGCAAGGGACCCAACGGGACCCGTCGTGTCATATCTGACAGCGGATGCTGCCGCGGATCTGCGCGGTTTGATCAGAGGTAGGTGCTGCTGAAGCAATGAAAGGAGGTGCTGCATGGTGTCAAGGCTGCGAAGATTTCCTGATCAATCCCTTGAATCTTGCCACTATAGGGATTTGTTATAATACTTAAAGACCTATACGGGCTTGGGTGACCAGGGTGTGACGGTGAACTGAGCCTCACACTTGCAGGAGACCAAGGCCTTTACACTGGAGGATCGGGCGAAGGCACACGGCCGGCCAGTGGACCGTGAGACTCGGGCCATGAAATCGACCTTCGCGGCATGGATTCTGGACCGCTGACCTGTTCACAACGAATCCTATATACCAGGACCTTCAGTTCGTGACCTCTTTGGAGTCTCTAAGTGACCTCTTTAGGGACTAAGTGACCTTATTCTATCTTATTCTAGGATCTCAAGGACGGTCACTTTGAAGCTCCTGGTACTTGGCGGGGTTGTGGATTACAATGTGGATCACATGGGTTGCATGTGGATTGATTACGCGGATCAACGAACCAAGGCTTGGTCCACTTGGTCCTTTCATGTCCTTGATGGTTCTTCTTGGCTCCAGGCCGGTGTGTTTCGGGGTCAAAAACACCGGTGGTGCTTGGTCGCAACTGGGCCCCTTGCTCAAAGCCCGGACGAAGCGTCCACACGGTGGGAGAGGAAGCATGGTCCGGTCCGTCCACATGGGAAGCACCAGCGCAGACTCACCTTTTTGCCCCATTCCGATGAATTTCATACCCAAACACTCCATGTATGCCATGTATTCCATATAGATGGTTTGTGATATGAATGTGAGATGAAAGTGTACCGGAAAAAAGTGGTTTGCGGGAAGGTATTTTGGACCTGAAATGGGTGACTTGAGACTGGACCATTGTGGTATTGTGTTGTTCAGTTCATGTTGGCAGCTTGATCAACCTTTATTTAGCGGAGAGCGGAGAGCGGAGAGCAGATCTTGACCGCTTTTTGGAGGGATCTACATTGTACTGTTGATGGACGACATCATGCATCAATGATTCAATAAAGTCCTCCAATGGTGCAGACCCCCATGCTCCCCTGCCTCAATGTTGTCCATCAACCTTATGACTTCTGACTTATGACTCTAAAAAAGTTGGACGGACGGCCAGGGGTTTCCAAGAGGAGGATTTCGGGGACCTCATGTGTTTTTTTCCAGACACATGCACTCAACTCCGCAACTCCAACCCTCCCTGTACCCTCCCAAAAACTTGGGACCCAAAAAGCTGCGGAACTTGGAACATCTTGGACCTGGTGGAGTTGTTTTTTGGGGACGCAGTCCCCTCCAGTCACCAGTCCCACACCAGACCCGACCGGACCGCCGGTCGCCCGACCGATCTCAGGAAGGGTTCTATGCGGCCTCCCGGGCAGAACGCTTGGACGGCCGCAGCGCGCAGGAGTACTCGCAGCGCCTTGGAGCTGAAGACAGCCGCGCGTTTGGGAGCGCGCTATCGTGCAGTGAACAGCTGGATCATGCATCTATCCAGCGGAGGTGCAGTGCAGTGAACTTTTGGGAACCGGACCCCAACTACCTGGGGTACCGGTTCCTGGGATAGACGAACAGTCGGGTTCTGAAGAAACCTCTGTTGATATGTCTGAGTGTCTTTTTCTCCGACTTTGCACTGGATCGGAGGATTTTCCGTTTCTGAGCAGATCGGATTCCTGGTGTTCTACGAGCAAGAAGGAGATTTGGATCCATGGTGTCGGAATCCCTGAACCCATGAGTCCATGAGTCCTTTGAGTTTAACTTTCGCTGTTCTCCTTCCCATGTTCCATCGGGGTGTGCAGGGAAGTGAATGTCTGACTGTTTGATCCTCGCATATTATTATCCTACTATCCCCAGACCGTCAGACCGTTTTTCATCCATCCACGTCTCTTCCCAGGCAAGAGCTAGACCTTTTCTTCGATGCCCTACCCAAGGACGAGGAGGGGAAGGCTACCAACGCTACGATGTCCACCCCTCGGTGGATCGTGCAGCAAAATTAGCAAAAGCGAGCTGGACAAATCACAAATTGAATGTTTGTCAGTGTGGTAATGGACAAGTTGGGAGTCAACATCCCTGCTTGCCTCGAGCGTTTTTCATGTCCAATTCGAGGAGTTTGGGGGATGTGATGTGGCCCAACTGTCGCATCGAAAAATGCCCGACACCAAAGGGAGGGCCGAGCTGTAGCAAGAGGGAGGTCAATGACCCTGGCAGCCCTGGGACACCAATGGCAAGACGGGTTTTGGAACTGCAGGTGGTCAGAACATGTTAGAACTTCTTCAATTCTCATCCACGTTCAGTGGAACCATTTGTACTGCAAACATGCTCCCATCCACCAACAGCCTCAACAGCAGTCCCCTATACCCAGGAAAAGTGGATCAATGTTATTCAATTTATGTGTTTGTTTGGTGTGTTTTTTCCACTCAATGTCAACCAAACTGTGCACACATTCGATTCACCTTCCTTTTTTTCCTAGAAAATCGATTCCATGGAGAGGAGTTCCTGTTCAGGTTTTCTTTACGTGGGGTGCAGGTGGACTTCCAGTTGGTGCGAAACTACATCGGCGGCTTCATTCAGATGCGCCGCGTCTTATGCGATGTCGCTGGATGGCGTGACATGATGAAACTCTACTTGGAGCGACTTGGTACCAAGGACAAAACCCACGGCAACGGAACCGGGTGACCATGATGGGTGACGTGACAGAGTGGAAATGGAAACACGTGTTTTTGTTGGAGCAGTTGACCTGCTGACTCATTTTCGTTGCGTGTGCCAGAAGAATGGAGGTGGGGAAACCCATGTTCTTTTAAATCCTTTAAGTACCATGAAGCAACTCAGACTCCCCAACTGCCGAAACAGACCACACGGGCCGGGCGCCTCTTCCTGTTTGTTCAGTTGGCCGGTCCGCACCGAGGAAGGCCTTTGAACATCCAGCTGTGAAGAGGGGCCTGGCTGGTGCCTTTGGGTATTGCTTGGGTCCCCCGGCCCCCGGGAGCCCGACCCGATCGGTCGCGGCCAAGCTGATGGCGTCGTGCAGCCCGAGGGTTGGAACCGAGGGCCTGGTCACTGGAACGGGGTATCCCAGACCATTTGACTGGAGGTCGTTGGGCCGCCCCGGAAGGGCACCAAAGAAAAACAGAAAACAGCACGCCAAGTGACGCGCCAGCATTTTTGCACACACATACGGCAGTTTTTTTTAATGGAGTGATTCTTGATATCGGAGGACCCACCTACAGTACAAGACTATATGCACAACATACGCACATATTGGGGTTTCGAGGGTTTGAGTCCATCTTCATCTATATATGGACTTGGAGACCAGATGAGACCAGTGACCATTTGACCGACGGTGGCTGCTGAAGAGACCGCGGCAAGATGCGGCAAGACTGAGCGAGTCAGGTCGTCGTTAGGCACCGAAGAGGCGGAACTGGTGAGACCGAAGAGGTGAGCCCTTTTGGAGTGAATGAATCCCTAGGGCTCCTGTCCCATCTCCTCAGGTTCGGTGGTTAAACCCCCCAAAACCACCCACCCTTTAACCACAGAACCTGAGGAGATGGGCCAGGAGCCCTAGGGAATGATCAGAAGGGAGCGTTCATGGTTCATAATCGTGCATTATTCCACAGATGCACGTGAACTCGTGAGCATCAAAGGACTGACTGTCGATGACTTTTGAGTCATCAACAGATCAATAAAAACCTTTGGATTGTGAAACATGTTTATACCAGGAATTGTTCAAGGGGTGTCGAATAGACTACCCCACCCTACGTAAACAGGTCTCCAGACAGGGCACCCGGACAGGAAGCGCTCGGTATGATCTCTTCAGGTGTCTCTGTTTTGTTAAGCAAAAGGTCTGCGTGACTGATCCGATCGATGGCCTGCCACTGTCCATTCCGACCACCATTCCTATGGGCCCTTGCACCGTCGCCGAGAGACACACCTCGGTCCACTTGGAACCCAAACGCGCTCAGACCTCCGCCAGCGCCTTGGGTCGCTGGAATGGCTGGAATCACATCAAATCACCTGGTTTTGCTGATCAGGTGATTTGTTTTTTGTTATTTTTGCTTTATTGGTGGGGAAATACGTTTTTTTCCAGGTTCCTTGAGCAAATCCAAGTCTCACATCTCCACTTTGCTACCCTCCATCCAAACATGGTGGAAGTGGAACCATGTCCCCGACTTCGGAAGACTTTATTCCGAAAAGACCGAACAGGCTGTCAGTCTTCCACTTCCATGGCTATTTCAGCGGGGTTAGTTCTGATACATGGCTGTTTCAGGCTGTATTCAAATTCCACTTCCATGATCTTCCATGATGGTTTCAGAGAAGGTTAGTTCTGATACATCAATATGAAGGATTTGGTCGACACCGACACCTCTTTCACCAGGTGACCTCCACGGTTTCTCCGAGCACGGAGTCCAATATCCAGGTCATTCCGGACGTGACGCCGGAACGAGCGGCGCGTGAGCCTGGTATACCCTGGCCGAACCCCCAAGCGGTTTATAACTGCGACGTTTGAAACTGAGGTGGGCAGAGCTGCTTGGAACATGTCCGCGCTGGTCATCCGGTGCAGGTGGAAGTTTTTCGACTGTTGGGTCCAGCTGGTGGACAGCGGGCGTTTGGGTCGGAAGTAGTAAAGACAGCGGGGTGGATGTGCTCAAACAATCCCAAACAGGTTTCTATTCCATGGGAGCCTGGGGGTTCTTTCGCAGTGAGCGTGGGATGAAGAACCCTTTAGTGACTTCCGAACACTGCAGGTACCGGAAGGCAGATCAGAATCAGAACATAGAGCTTGTGAAAGCACGAACTCGGTTTTAGTAACATGCTCAAAGCAACCGAGAAGGGAGTTCTTCCTCCGACTTCCTGGAAGAAAGCCGTATGATCTTGTAAGGGATCTAGAGAGCCCCTTGCCGTAAGTTCATGGAATTTCTCTGGCACCTGTCATGTAAAGACAAATTCTTTATGTGTGCCAACCTCAGAAAAAATGTTTGCATGCATGGTTTTTGCTTGTTCTATACACCAACATCGTCCCTTGTGCTCAGTTCCAGATCCCAAACAAACATTGCCTTTTTTGCATATTTTTTTCCTGGAGGCCGTGTGTTCCCTCCACGGGCTCTTGCACTCGCGACCCACGACGGCTGCAGAGCCGTTCAATTCCAAGAAGCGGATGTCCCAAGAAGAGTATGCCACTCGGTGGGAGGTCCAAGGGCAGTGAAAAGGAGGGCTATGGCTTTGAACCACAATTGAATGGCGTTGAACATGAATGCCTTTGAACATGAATGCTTGGAACATGAATGGCTGGTTCCCAGCTGATTCCATTTGATTCCCTAAATTGGTTGAATAATCGTCCTTAACAATTCATGGTTGGCAAACAATCGATATAATAAATTAATGCAACGCTTGTTGCAACGTTGTTACGAACGGTTTTGAAATGTTTTGAATAGCTTTGGATAGTTATCAAAGTTGCTCGCCTTCCACGTGGAGCTTGAGAAGACGGATCTTAGTCTTAGTTGATATTGGGCGGCTGTGATAGAGAGACCACAGCAAGCCTTACCTTAAATTGCCTTAGATAAGCATTGCTGAGTTGTGTGTAGTTTTTTCTGGTGTGTGTGTGTGTTTGTGTTGGTCTATCATTTCAGAGCCGGAGCACTGTCTGACTGAGGAGAGACATACTGTAAATGTGCCAGGAGAGACATAGCCTTGTGCATCAGAGAGCACATTGGTTTGTATTTGTTCATGTATCATTCTTGGAGAAATGCAGCACCATCGGAGATGAGGAAAACTCTGTTATGTGTTTACCAGTGTTTGGTCGCTCATGGTGTTGCATTTTCTGAAGAGTAGTGCCCGAGCGACATCTCTATATGGTTAGCTTGTTTGTTGTTGAAGTAACTGTTCCAACCAGGTGCACACAACAGTGCAACTAGTTTATTTTGTCACCCAAGTCGACAGAACACTCACCTACAAGCCTACAAGCCAATCATGACCTCCTTTGATAGGAACCGACGATGACATATGATGTTTGATAGTTGATCTTCCAAAACAGGGGTTGCTCAATCAAGTTCTCGTAATTTCAATTTATGGCGGTGTAGAGATGTATAGACTGCACTTTGGTTGGAGTTGTTCCAGAGGGTCCTTTTTGGTCCATCATCCCACCAAAGGATAGTCACAGCGGTTTAGCTGACGCTGAAGTCTCAGGCAAAGATTTGCCCGGCCAACAACTACAACAAGGATTGCCGCATTCTCATCGAAAATGGAGACAAGGATGAAGAAGTGCCAGCTAATACCATCACTGATCCCTGGCTGAATCTCAGTTCATTCAAGATGAACCACACTATTGTCAACCCGCCATAAAACTAGGTCTCCACATGTTCTCCCCTCCTCTCTTGCCCATTTTTAGGCCATCTCCCCTTCTTAACCCTTGAAGCTCCCTGGCGGAGTGCCTTGCCCTTGGCGGGGCGACCCAGTCGTACCTCCGAGTTCACGAAGGTATGACCGCACCACTCCGGTCGTATCAAAGGTACGACTGGAGCCCATCTGGGTCCAGAACCCTCCATGTTCCATGAACCAGAACCCTCAAGCGAATCCACCAGATGCCCTGCATGGAGCTGCCCTGCCAAACCCTAGGATTTCGTTGCAGAGATGGATGCCCAGTCCATCGACTGGCGCTTCCACAACCACGCCCGCGGACCCCATGGCTTCGCCCTGGGCCCCGGAGTGCCAGGCCGGAGCGGAAGCGCCGCTCGCACGGGGCTGGAAGTGGAGTGGGTTGGGGTGGCTTGAAGGAACCTAAAACTTAAGTTAGAGTGCCAACTTAAATTGGGGAATCTAAATCTATAAGTTATAAGTCTATATAATTCTCTGATCATCTCTGCATTACATCTCTCGTATTGTAAAGGCTTCCAGTCAGGGAACCCCTTGAAGCTGCTGGTATTTTAGGGAATATCACTACCCCCTTGCGGTGCCTGAACCCCCCCACTGGGTCAGGTACTGATGTCCGGCACCGCCGCCGAACGGTCGAGGCTGCGAGTACACCGAGCACATCGACCGGCGCTCCACGCTGGACATGCTGAGCCTCTTCGTGACTCGGGATGACTTGGAGGGTCCCACAAGAGGTGGATCATGCTGAGCCAAAGGTGCAAAGATGCGTATAGCCCCTAGGGCTCCAACCACCTCCTGAGAAGATGGTTGGGGTGGGTTTGGGGGGTCTAACCACCTTCTCAGGATATGGTTGGAGCCCCAGGGACAGTGTTTCGCTATGTATAGGTGTTCAGACCCATGTTCTATTCTTAGAGATCACATCTAAGATGATGGGACTCAGATGTTTTTTCGTGTATATGGATGTTTATTCTCCAATTGCCTGCAGTTTTCCTTCACAAAACCAGTGCATTTGGTACTGAAACCGAAACTGATTGACTTGTTAGCCCAATCATGGGCTGGCAAGGATGGAAAGCTGCTAGAAAAGTGGTTACTACCACCCTAACATTCCTAACCGACTGGAAAGGTGGTTCTTTATGTTCTTTTCCACATTGGCTATTTTGACAGAGATTGCAGGTGTACTCGGCTCGGGTATTTGTAGCATTTTGATTGGTTTTTAGCGCGGGCAACCATTGAGTTTGGTGCATGATGTCGAATGACAAGAAACAACATGACCATTGAAATGGCGATATGATATGACGTTTTAGTCCGTAGTATTTTTACACATTTTTACATACAGTGTGTTTAAGTGTGTTTTGGTCGGTGACTGACTAAGGGCTTTGGTTAGGCTTTTGGAGAAACCCTAGCAGCACGCTCGGACTGCAGTTCTTCCGGGCATGTGGGCATCTTAGCCTGAAATCAGGCAGAGACATGGCCTGAGTTCGACCAGCACCCCGTGGAGTGCAACGCTTCCGGTACCAGCTTTCATGGCTTCGTCCCCTGGAAGAAGCGCCGTCAGAACCTTTGGTCCACCGCGGCGGTGGGCATTCTGGCCGGTGCCGCGACTGTGGCGGCCTTGACGATTTTGAGGAAGAACGCTTAGATGGAGAGTGTGACGTGTCCTTGGACGTTCGATGGACACATGCTGCAAAAACACCCGAAAAACCCTGCAGTCAGACACCAAGAGGCCAAGAGGCACCTGTTGGGTGACCAAGTATGGTGAGTGGATGTCCGATACCTTTCATCTCAGCGTCCGGCCCGTCAGTTGTGATTTTAAGATCCCAGCATTTCAGGGCAGCATGGCAGCCTGGGGTGTTCAGCGTTTCCGAGCAGATATGCTCAGGTTTTTCGTTGGGACAACGATTCTCTTTGGTGTACCCCTTTGAGGGCGCGGACGGGCCATGAACTATGATGTTCTATGTGTTTGTTCATGGCTCCATGAAGCAAATCCAAGAAATCCCAAGCTCATTTAACATGTCATGTGTTACTTTTTCTGGGACAATATATCAGTGTGGGTCAGAACGAGCCTCAAAACAATGGTGATTCATGGTAGGATGTGGTATATAGGTGAACATGTTTGTTTTTTTTTCACCTGCTCACTGCTTACTGGAGGTTTGGGAACAGATATTACTATATAGTTACTATAGTTGTGGAGACTGACGCGCCAATGTTGTTGCTATTGGTTTCCGTACAGAGACTGAGGCGTCAGACTTAGCAGAAGATCCGGTTTCCTATATAATTAGACTCTTTCATATAACAATGCAATATCATACCCTCCCATTCATATGAAGAGGCTCTTCCATCAAAATGGGAGGGTTATCAATCATGAGTCTACATAATTGTACCATGCCGCTCCAGCGGTTTCGACCCAACAAGCCCAACAGCCGAGTGGCCGCCTGTCACGCTGGCTGTACCTCAGTGAGGACGTGTGGCACCGTGTTTTGTTTTTCTCGAGGGCGAAGATGATTCCGAAGAAGTTCAGGTCCGGCGCCAGACATTTGGGTTACCCCATTCAACTGAGAAAACCCAGGTAGTTCTGAATCCAGCCGCCCTGAGATCGGATCAAACCGTTTCGTGGCCAAAAGTGCAAAAAAAGAGTCGTGCCTCCTGTGGTCTGTTCCAAAAGGATCCCGTCGTACATTCTCAGAAGGTATGACTGCCTCCTTCCTAACTGTACCTGAGAAGGTGCGACTGGATCACCTGAGAAGGTGCGACTGGATCCCTAAGGGTGCTGGCCCTTTGATCCTCCGCGGTTGGAAGGATCGAGGATCCAGATCCGACGGTCAAGGCATGGAACGACAAAACACATCAACAGCAGATGGACAAGAGGATATCAACATCAGATGGTTTCAAGAGATGAAACATGATAAAAGGGGTTACAGATGTAGCCCTCAACAAATCTCAATGATGAATCACAGGTGGCTGTGCTACGTCTAGGTGTGCTAGTCTTAAACTTGCCGGGGCGTCCGAAAGGTGCTGCTCACACAGCGGCGACTTGTTTCTTGTTGGGGAAGCACTCATCATGCACCTAGAAGTGCCCCTTTGTCATTTTCAGTGCACAAAACAGCAGAGAAGAGTGTAAACCAGCCGTATCCAGCAGTCACAAAGGGGTGCTTAATGGAGGGTAGGGTGCCCAGAACATCCACTCACTTAGGGACTAAACACCACCCCTTTGTGACTGCTGGAACATTCTTTTTTGTTGTATTTTTGGTTATTTCGGTTTTTCCTCCAAACACCTCGGCCTCAAATAGCAACTGTTTTGGGGAGCCCATCCTGCGGATCTGCAGCGGTGCGGCAGCCGTTCACTCTAGCTATGTGGACCCAGGTGGCTACACCATGATCCCGAAGTAGTGTAGGGGCCTACTGTAGGGTAATGTCCAAGCATTATCCGGACAGGACACCAAAAGAAGACTCTGGTACATTTGGTGCATGTCCCTTCACTTCCCAAAAGAGCTCAAACAGGTTCGACTCAGCCAGCGCAATGCGCTGCGTCGATGTGTTGGAGCTTGTTGGGAGACAAAGTGATGACGGTGGACGCACCGGTCGTCCAAGGCCTCATCCCTGTTTGATATACTAATTCTAATTTGTTACTACTAGTAAGGCACTTGTTACTACTAGCGAGGCACTTGTTACTACTAGCGTGGCACTTGTTACTACTAGCGTGGCACTTGTTACTACTAGCGTGGCACTCTAGAAAACCCCATTCGATGTCTCTATGTTGGGTCTGTCCGAACGAACACCTGGAAGGAGCCGTCAGGTTTCACAAGAACATCACGATTTTTGAACTAGGCCTGCAACCTAGCCATCATCATCCACTGAGGCCCCTGGTAATAGGATAGACCCAGTCTCTATGGAACCAGGAACAACCCCCACCAGATCAAATCCAGTCAAGCCCGGTGGATCGCAGACCTTTTTGTTGGCTCAATGGCACGCTTCCAAAACGCACCAGTATTACAGTGGTGAGAACATATGCATGGTATGTCTAGTTAGTGGCTAGTGGATCTGTATATTCTTGACATGAAGACAGTATAGTAAGGAGGACCATTTGAGACAACAACCATCCAGAATCCAATCGATGACGGTGAAGGACGGACCGATATCAGCCCGACAGTACGATCGGTGTTGCTGATCCGGTGTTGCTGATAGGTTTAATCCCCCAATTTGGGGAATACTTAGATGACTTAGGTCTCATGATTTCCGCAGATGGCATCAGACCTTCAAAGCCAGCAGGATGTTTGACCCTTCCTGAGCAAACCCTGCACTTCTCAGCTTAAGAAGGCCTAGCTTGCCAACTTGCCCTTTTGCACCGGGTGCGTAGAACCAGCCTCCATTCAACCCCAGCCATCACCAGTTTTATCGCACCTCCGTTCACCAACCGCACCTCCGCTCTCGTCCGTGAAGAAACCATGGGGGCAGAGATTTGAGTCTCGGTTGCACAGAGCGGGGAGGGCTGGGCAGAGGAGCGCCTGGCTTTCGGCGGGAGCACCCGTTGGTGAGCACATGGTCTCCATCTTCAATCACCCGTTGGACTGGTATATGATAAAATAATGTGTTATGCCGCTATGCCTACATTGACCCCTCAAACCACTCCGAGGTAGGTAAATATGTCATACATGCATGGTTTGGGTCATATCCTATCATATCCAAGGAAGCTTCTTCAGGAAGGAACCACGTGCCGAAACGGGAAACATGAGGGCCGAGTCTCGCTGGTGTTCCTCTTGCCTTCGTCAAAAGGAGCAGACCGAGTTGGATGGAGTGAGACAAGCCTGTCTGGATCTTGAAAGTTCTTACCATTGGTTTAGTCTTGTTCTTTGGGGATCAACAAGATCTCTTTTTGGGGGTCCCAGGGTCCACCACCCCCAGTCACCTTCTGCCGAGCGGACTGAGAGTCAGGGAGTGGAGCCGTCCGTGACCAGAGGTGGATGAGCCGAGCATTTGGGAGAAATCCTCCTCGGTTTGGGCGGTTTGGGCTGCGGGGTCCATGCCCCTTTGAGGGTTCCTATAACTTCTAGGTGATCGTTTCGAGATGTTTCTTTCAACCTCTACTTGGGATGATTGAAGACTAATACTTTTCAAGTTGAAAGCACCAACCAGACTTGCTTTGAAACCGAGGCCCGGCCCGCCATGAGGATTGCTGCCACTTGGCGGGCGCAAGACCGCGGGGGTCAGTGGCTTGTTGGTCTGTTTGGTTGCACACGGCGTTCGAGCAGACCGTAAGCTAGAAGGCTAAGCGAGATTACTGAAAGACGATCTCAATCAAGTGCAAACTAGACATGGGGGGAAAGAATAAAAACATGTTTCCCCATGTCCAGTTTGCAGTTGCCATAGATATGTTGTTTAAATTCTTGGCGCGATGACCCCAAAGAGGCAGCCTTGTCATGCATTATCAGGAAGAATAATTAAGTAGACACCAATGTTACTGTTCATTTTCACAGGGTTCCAGCTTGTCTTGGTGTGTCTTCGCTGCTCCAAAAAGAAGGGGGCACTGGAGTTGAACCGGTATTGATCCTCATGCGTCGGCTGCGTCGGCTGCGCCAGGTATTCTTATAGCGAATCATTCATTCACGAATTGTGTCATTGTGTTCCCATCCATTCCAGCATGTTCAATTGTGGATCACCCCGTGTTTTTCTCCATGTTCCAAAGATGGACCCAAACAGCCATCTGACCAGCTGTTTCACTTCAATCCTTCGCCCATCTTCACCCCCCAGCGCCATCGCGCCATCTCGCTCTGAAGCACCAGCCACCGGTGCCCAGACTTCGGACCCTTGAGACCCGGATGGATTCCCACCACTTCCGGTCTCCCGACCCTGGGGTCGGACCGTACCACGGTCAGACCGAACGGTCACCGCAATAAACCCTCTTCCGGTTGGAACCGGAACCCGACCGCTTCGACGAGTTCAGTCGTTGGGTCCGAGCCGGGTCCGGTCACTGGAGACCCGGAGACCGGGCTGAGTCGAGTTGAGATTTCCTCATGAAACTATAATTCACGGTGAGTATGACTTTGTTAGTCCGCCTTCCCGTAGTGAATTCTACCTTTTGTCTCTCATGTTGGCGGTTTTTCAGCCGATCCGCGCCTCGTGCTTTCGCCGCTTAATGGGTCCGCTTTAGACGCGCCTCGTGGTTTCGCCGCTGTTCGTACCTCCAAGGTCTGTGGCTCCTGCTATGGCGAGCTCGACCGGGTCTACGAGGCGGTCAGGCGAGCGGATGGAGAGGGTGGATGGGGCGCGTGGTCGGATGTCTCGGTTTAACCCACGTGGGGGGAAACGCGCCGTGGGAGGTTGAGGGAAGGAGGTGGTGTCTTATAAGATTTTATACCATTATGATGCTCACTAGGATGCAGTATCGTTCATTTTTATGGCTCCAAGTAGAGAAATCCCTTATAGTTCCCAGTGGATTTCTCCAAAGCCAGGGCCCTGGGAGGCAGGGGATGATGCGAGCAGCCGAGGTTGGTCCAGCACCAACCAGAAATACGGTCTAGATGGGTGAAGGAGCGCCGGTCTTGCCCGTTTTTTTTTTCCATGTGGATGCTTGAATACTCTTGAACCAGCAGTCACAAAGGGGTGCTTAATGGAGGGTAGGGTGCCCAGAACATCCACTTACTTAGGGACTAAACACCACCCCTTTGTGACTGCTGGAATATGCTTTTGTTTACACACTGCTGGGATGATCCGCCCAACAACTGTGTTGATGTTGACCGGCCTTGTTTCTGATTTACGGCTTGCAATCCCAGGTCCACAACCTGACGGACTGGCGCCGACTGGACGGGTCAAGCAGCAGATGGTCCAATCCAGTTTGGGATTACCAGCCCTGATCTCCGCACCATGGGACTCGAAGAGTTGGAGGTCAGGCTTCAGGCCGCCTCCGCTGCGAAGCATTTTGCAAGTCCAGCCTGACCCAGGTCCAAACCTGGTCGACTTGACCTCCTTGAGCATAGTGTTTTTGGATGACCAACACAGCTACAATGAGATCAAACTGACTTGTACGTATATTTTGGGCCACTGGAGAGCATATACTGATGCCAAAATTCCAAACCCTGACGGCCATGCTATGCCCGAGTCCAGGAAGTTGGCCAAGCAGGGCATTCACATCGAGTTGCTGATTTGCTGCGGCGACTTCATGTGGCTCGGGTGGGAGTGGGAGTGGACCCGCTTACGCGAGAACCCCGTGAAACATCCTAGGTGATTGGCCTTGATGTTTCTTGTATGGTGCATCCTTGATGTTTCTTGTTTGATGTTTCTTGATGTTTCTTGAACATCCTACGTGGTTGGTTTCTTGCATTTACATGGTATGGTTCTTGCGGACCACGCGATCGCGGGCTCTGAGTGGGTGATTGTCGTGCATTTACCTTGTAATTTACCTTGTAATTATCCACCGAGAATCTTCATCCATGGTGGACTAATCATGGGCACATAAAAAGCGCTATGTGATCTATGTGTCAAAGGATAGTCCAAGTTGCTATCAAAACAGAGTATATCCAGGTTTGGATGCAGCATCGTGACTCAGGGCAGCACGTACCATCAGTTAGTGCGATCAGGGTCACTGCGGTCACTGGAATGGAGCTCAGCAGGATCCGCTGCATGTACTGTGTATGATCACCGGCTGATCAGCAACGGCATTGAGGTTTAAGCCACGGCTTTTGAGAACCACAAAGCTCAGGTTGGTTGTTAGGTCGAGTCTGGCATGAGCAAGGGGCCTTGAATGCCTCTTCCTTGAATGGTCCAGTTGCGATGCAATATTGGATCACATTCTGGTGTGCAGTTTTGGAGCAAGTTTTCCCGCAACCTGTGACTTGGCTGGAGATTCCAATCTTCCAGCAGTTGCGGACATGGAACATGATCATCCTCAATGATCACGAAGCTGGACCGGAGTCTTTGAAGATAGCCAAGGCCACCATCATCACCACCTTCATCGGCACCATCACCACCATCACCATTGTAGTCTTTCGGATGCTGTCTGTTGCACCAGTACTACTGACCGGCCCTAAACTCAACATCCGCCGGTCGGACGGAGCATCGAAGAGGACCGTTTGTTAGGAGATCAAGGAAAATCCTGTTGGTGAACCACATCCAGGTTGAAGTGACCCTTTCTTCCCCACCTGTCAGGTGAGGGTTGTTAGATTTGATGTCAGCTCATGCCCTGCTCCTCCTGATTCTCCTCGTCCTTCTTGTCCTCCGCGCCGTGCGCCATCCTCAACCGCGACAAGTAGTTCTTTGGTGAAGTCTTTCGTTTTTGGATTTCCTGGGAATCCCAGCGCAAGAACCTGTCCTTTGAAGTTTTGCATGCGAAGTCACCAACGAACATATAAGCTTTATTGTATAGCTTCGTAGCTTGCCAACCAATGGAGGGAAAGTGACCTGCAAAAGGACCCGTAACCTGGGGCACCTTTGGGATAGTCGAACTAGGGTTCTTCAATCTTTGTTGGAAAATGAATGTTCCTAGACGATTGTGGCATGACGTTTGGCATGACGATGTGCTCCTCTGAGCCCGGCTCACCGGACAATGAGGTCAGTTCGAGATGAGCGACTTGGATGACGCGCGAGACTGACGCAGAAACACGTGCCAAACTAAAATGTGAAACACTGGCGTCGATTTGTTTGCAACTCCTGTGTTTTCGAAGAAGTGCGTGACACGATAAACACTGACTGACATGTACCTGACATGTGTTCAAGGGCATGCGTGTTCCGGTTGTATGTCATGTGCAGCCAAGAAGTTTCCTGCTGGCAGTTTGGTGGGTGCTCGTGTGGTTCTGGCTTGACTTGTGCTCTGCAACAATTGATCGAGACTAGTATGCTAACCCTTGGTCGGACTATGGAACCCACTATAGATGGGAGAATTGCCAAAGCAGGTGGTGTGTCTATCAGTGTCCCTGGAACCTTCAGGGTCTTCAGCACTGACCACCAGCATGCAGCCACCAGCCCATTCTCAGCCCCAGCCAGTGACCGACCCAAAACGGACACAAACATGTTCGGAACTCTGGGAGTTGCTACGGCTCTCTCAACATCAAACAGCAGAGCCCTTGTGAAGACTTAGTATTTTTATTGGAGTTTTTTTTTGGGGGGGGACTTCCATTGTAAGTATTCTTTCGTGGGTGTGAGCTTCAAAAAATAACTCCCGTTCAGCCCAAACGTGGTATAAGCTGAAATTCCGTGCCAGTGGCTGGGTGGAACGCAAGTTTTACCATGACAATCTTTGAGCTGCACAAGCGGAAAGACACGTCATCAGTGCATGCTTTGTGTTGGGCAACAAGAGGCAGCCAACCTGGGGGCCTTTGAATTTGGCTGCCGAAGCTGACCTCTTCACTTCAGCGTGCTCAGGATCGACTTGGAGCATGTTTGGGTGCCCCCTCACATGCAGCACACGAAGGACTGACCGGAGCCAGCCGAAAGTGACCGGAGCGTTCATCACCAGTTGGCGATCATTCCTACCGGTGCTAGGTACGGTCCGGAAGTACATGCATCACTTGCAGCTTTCGTTCGTGGGATTGGGGGAAAGGTGGGGCCTGTTCGTTCGATGGAGTCGTTTCACGAATCGACACCGCGGAGGGCTGGGAGGGCTGCAGGAGTCTGTGGACATACTGTGGACATGTAGTACACCTGGCCACTTAGACACAAGCAAATCCATCTATAGACCCCCTTGGTACTCCCCAATCAAGAGGTCAGTTCTCAACTAAATTCACTTTGAAGATTTCACTATAAGGCTACATCACGCTACAGAGCTCCTCACAGATCCTCACAGCTACGTGATGGCTATGATGAAAGCTTATGAGGTGACCCCCTTTCCTACCAAGCCCAGCAGTAGACAGTGATTGAAAACACATGCTGAGAATGGGCAGTCGGAGCTCCCATCACAAAGAGGAAAACTCCTAAACCCAAACCTGTTCTTTTCCATTCATGACCGATTCCCATCTTGGCCCTGTTGGTTCGAGTCGTGACACAAAACAGGCCCACGCTCTTGATGGTTGAAAGGCGAACTTCACCCCAGGAAGAGTGCCCCTTCAACGTCGAGTTGTTGTGGCAAAGGTTTCAGGTTCCAGCACCACCCAGGTCAATTGGTGTATAAGATGTTTATAGGACCCCCCCTATTCCATGGTCTTTTCATGGTCTTGTCCATCCAACCACCACAATACCTATCGAACGGGGTCAACGGGTGGAACACCTGGATCAACGACTCTAGGCCCCCCCCAGCGATCAATGCAGCGATCTTCCGAGCTGAACGGGCCGAAGCAGGATCCACCCAGGGGCCTCGAAGCGGCCGAAGGATCCACCAGACCCGAAGGATCCGGTGCCCTCCGACAGGAAGACCCCAAGGACTTCCCGAAGTACTTCGATGGGCGCGCTGAGGTGCTGGACGTGACTCTCTTCGTCGGTTTGGGACCGTTGACGTTCAACTGGGTGCAGCTTGATGGCTGAACGAGAGGGAATGAAGCGGTTGGTGTGTGTGTGTTTGTTATCCTCCATATATATATTCAGGTGCGAATTCTCAGAAAGAAAAAGAAACGACGATAGAGCACTATAAGGAGCGTTGTTTTCGACCAGAAGACTCCAAGCTTGATCGTATTGCGGTTCCATGAGCTGTTTCACGTGTTGTCACAGGAAACACCGCGCGCAGGCACCGGTGACCACTGTCTTCGTGGGTGGGCGCAATGAAGCTTCCAACCTGCCAGAGCACTCAGGGGGTGTTCAAAATGAAGAGTGTCCAAATCATAAGAGACGAACGGTCTCTTCAGTATGGAATCACCCGTTTGTGTTGATCACCTGAAAATAAGGAAACACCTTAAACTAAGCTTATAGTATCTTATAGTATAAACACATCAATTTTGGAGTGATTCATTCAAGCTCCGATGCATTAGAGGTCCGAATTGCCTAGCTGTGTGAAAAAGTCGAGTCGAGTCGAAAACACGGCTGTTGACGAGAGGATCCAAGGGCTGTTAGTCTGTATTCCCATAGACTCCATGGGACAGCAGGACCTACTGCCCCAGACAGACCCTTTGCTGGCAGTCCGCCAGTCCTATGGAGTCACGTCGGGATTGGAAGACTTATTTACGCGCGCCTTGTTTGGATCACTGGGACACTACTACAACTAGATTACAACACCTCTAACCCTATTGATCCCTTGTTTGTTTGTATCCTCCGCCGTGGGCGACTCCCAGGCTCCGGGAACACTACTACGGTGGCTGGGTGGCCCCGCGTGACTGGGCTTCAGCGACGCGGACGGGTCGCGCGGGTTCTCGGTGACGGTGAGGCGACGTTGAGATGTCACCGTCCTGGACAGCGAAGAAGGAGAAACATGAGAAAACACTAGTAAGGCACTTGTTACTACTAGTAAGGCACCTGTTACTACTAGCGTGGCACTGTTGTTCCTAGTAGCAAACATTGTTATACCAGGAACATGATGACGGCATGATTGGCCGGGGGGTATACACCATGGTACACCTTGTGTTTTGATGTGTTGTTTTTTTCCAGAGTTTGGCAAGAACATGTTTTTAGGATGTTTTTATATAGGTGGTTCTTGGGGCAAAATACGTTTCAAGCCTGGCCTTTGAAAGCAGGGCGTTTCTCGCGATGTCTCGCTTGGCTGACTCTGATCTGTCGGACCAAGAGTTCAAGAGGAGAAGTACCAACCAGATCAAGCAGATCCTAAGTAAACCACACTATCTATAGATTTGGTATACAACCATGGCAACCTACTTATATATAAATTAGATTGGCCAAGCAGATTTCGCTTGCTTCCCAAGTTGTGTCGCTTTTGTTGCTTGACACGGCGACTCCCCCAAACCATCCCAAACCCATTACCTGAGCTTCAAAAAGCCCCCAAAAAAGTCCATGTCATATCAATCCATGTCCATCCCATCTTAAGCTCCGTGGTGGAAACGGGTCGCAGAGCCACCGCTTCGCCGGGAAACGGAGGTAGCCGTCCCGGCCGTGGACTCGACCGTCACCGACCCCCGACCCCCGACCCGAGCCGAGGGATCTACTATCTGGGCCCCGCCGGTGTCGTCCGCTGCGGCCCCTTGCGCATTGCGGGTGTCGGAGGGCTCTTCGCCTCCAATGACTACTTCCGGGGGCGCCATGAGTGCCCGCCCTACACTGAGGAGATGAAGAGGATGAAGAAAAAACAATGGGATTTGACATGCATATTATGTGTGTGTGTGTGTGTGTGTCAACCCCTGTTTCGAAGGGCACTATTCTAGCTACTTCTACTACTTCAGCAACCAGACGATTTGTACAGAAAAAACTGCAGGGGGACAGAGCTCTCTGATGCTACTCTGTCCAACGAAGCTATGCATCAGAGAGGGAAGCATCCACCGGCCATGGATGTGTACCTGCCATTTAATTTGCTTTCCAAGTTTCACTTCTGGTTAAACATTCTGTTCGACCGACTCTGCACTTCTTTCCGTTGAATCAAGTCAAGTGCTAAGTATTCATTCTCCACGTTTCACCCATGTTCAAACATTCTGTTCGACCGACTCTGCACTTCTTTCCGTTGAATCAAGTCAAGTGCTAAGTATTCACTTAAAGGGCTAATGATCCCCGCGAGGAGCTTGAAATCGCGCTCCGCGGAGCAACCTTCTCAAGTGTGTGTTTGCCAAAAATTCCCAGCAGAGTCCGAGTGCTCGATCATTGTTTAAACAAAAGTTGGACTATGTTAGGCTTTATAACAGACTAGGTCACGTGCACAAACGATCATAACGCTACGATTGTTTGAGCCCAGTACAGCTTACCCAAATCAGTCCAATTCAATCATGTGTGTTTGAAACTGGCGAACAAAATCGGCTCCGAAGTTGCCCAAGATCAGTTCTTCCGCCCTCTTCCACCGGTGCCCAGAAATCGGGTCCTCAAAGGCGGGTCTTCCGCCTTCCTCCCGCCCACGGCCAGCCCGCAGGAGTTCAAGAAGAGCGCCTTCCGTGCCCGGGAGTGGGATGCTTGGCCGGGCCAATGCGAGACCGGCGGTGTGTGGAGTCGGCCCGACACGGCGCCAAATTCACTGGTGGGCCGGGGAGGGTTGATCAGTCCGAACTAGTGAGAGTTTCCATGTTCCAGATGTTCAAGGGGAATGGTTGCACTTGTTTTCTATATAATAAATGGAGTTTGGAGGGGTCACCCACATGTCGAGAGGGCACCAGCGGATTGATGGGAGTATGAAGCTGAAACCTCGTTGTGTTTGGAATTGCTGCGTTCAGGTGTGTTTTCTTTCCAAGCTCACTGACCACATGAATCCATGAAGGCTTGACATTGAGAAATGTGGACACTGATGCATGCAAACTATCCCAAGGGCTCCAAGTACACCCTGAGGTGTTTGGGGTGGGTTTCTGGGGTCTAAGCTGTTTATAGGAGGAGGTACACCAGGAGCCCAAAAGGGTATATGTATACCCCCTTCTCACATCCACCATGCCAGCGGTACAACTTACCCAGAAAAAAGTGGATCACCTGCAAAATCCTTTCTGGGTTTACTGGGCTTTCCCCAGTCATTTCATGACCTAAAGAGGTGTTCAAGTTCGGTGAGCCGATCAGCTTCGCCTCGCCGGGGCCATCCAGGATGCCGCGCGGTTGGAGAAGCTGCAAGAGCCGGTGGATTTGGTCATCTCATATGACTGGCCTCGAGGACGGGGTCCCACGCCGGGTCCGGCACGGCACGGACCCGTGCGACGCGTACGCGTGCGGGCGTCCGTGGCTGGGTACGCTGCTGACCGGAAGGCGGACGGAGGAAGCCTAGGCCCACATGGATAGACCTCATGGAGCCTCATGGATGGGCGTGGGGAGTTCGATGAAGCAGGGAAGATCAAGCGGTCCTTGCTGTAGGTAGGGTTCTTCCAATAGTGTTTATCGCAAAAAATATCAAAAAATGGAGTTTGGACACCTTACAACACCATGTGCCTGCAGTGGTGTTCCTTGGCAGAACCCCAGAAGGTTATATAGTGATGTATGAGGTTGTATGAACTGTTTGTGTGTGTGTGTTTGTGCATTGTATTTCTTGGATGTTCTTTACGTTTTGGTCAAGTCAAATCCAAGCTTGAGTCTTCTCAACATCTCACATTCAAGCATGCATTTCGATTAGGGAGACCCCTAAGATCTCGACCCCATGGAAGGAGGCAAATCACCTCAAACCCATTGGGCCAGGGGGTCCCCTATTTAAAGCACACACCCCAAATGACTCCTCGGAAACTTCCCAGCCCGGACAGGAATTTGGAAGCATGGCCCTTACGAGACGCTCATCAAACAGCACCTTGGAGGTTCTTTCAGAAGCGTTTAGCCCTGGTAAAGGGGCCGGCCGACCAGAAGGAGCCTGGTTTTTTGGGGAAGATGTTCCATGCTTTGCCAGGGTGGAAGAAATCGGACATTCATATTTTTGAGTCAAGTTTGCATGTGCACTACACGTCTTTTTGCTGAACGTTGAAGGCAAGAACTGGGAGAGAACCAGAAGAGGGAGATGGAAGGCGTGGTGGGCGATGGGAAGTGAACATGCCAGATGTCCTGATTCAAGAGCAGTATATATAATGGCTAAAACAGCCAGCGCGTCATGTGCAATTCAGTACTTCCTTGAAATCACCATGAAATAACACATGGAAGCTGTGGAGTTCGCCACCTGCTCGGGGGCCATGCCATCGTAGCCATGCTCATAGCCGATGGATTTCGTGGACCTTCCATGGACCGGACCTGATAAACCGTGATGGACCTTCCATTTTGGGGGTGCATAGCCGATGGAAGTACGTGTTCCTGTGGTATCAGCGGTACAATCCGAATGCCTGAGATGGGGGCTGATCTTTTGTGGGAAGGAGGTGAAGCCTTTCATTAGTCATTGAGTGCATGATGCGGCCACGAACAAGCTTTTCGGCAAGAGCAAGAGAAAAAAGGAAGAGGGTATGGTCTAGCCATGTCTAGCCTGTCGAGGCCTTCATTTGTCTCAGTTGAGATGGCACCCCTGTGGAAGATCCTGACACTTGAAACATCAACAGACTTGTGCTTAGTAGGGAATGAGGGAATGAACCACCCCTGTAGGCCCCTCTGGATCCATTCCCATATTCCCTATGAGTCGCACCAGTCAGTCAACCGTTGAACATGTCTCAAGCATGGCACGCTCCAGCAACATCCGTCCGTCTGCATGTGAGTTGACCCAACGACTGTGAAAGAAAGGTTCCTTCGGATTCCATCCACTGGGCAGCTTGATTCATCCTCCCTTCAAGAACATATCAAATTCATGTAAAAAACGACCATAAATAACTAAACAACATAAATTTAAACAAGCAAAAAATGCAATATATTGCAATAAACATATAACAATAAACATGCTCGACCTATTACCGCCTCACAACACCAGGTGGCCGACCCTCGGCGGTTTCTTCGACCGGAACGGCGCGTGGGTTCCCATGCCGCGTGGCGCTCGACGCAGGGAACAACTTGGGGTCTCCCGCGGCCATGGAGTTGCTGAAGAAGTTGCGGCCACCCTTTTGGTTTTCCGCCAGCCTCCAGGCGTCCGGACATCCGGAACCTCGCACATGGGGTAAGTATAGGTATCCTATATAGACGGTTGATTGGATGTCAACTCCCCAAGCATGAATTGTAAAGCCTCGGAGGCTTTGATCATGTTGTTTTTTTGATATCAGGGGCTCCGGACACTTCGGGTGATCACGTCGGTGAAAAAGGTGGGTGGTGGAAAGCCCACGACGTGCACGCAAGCCCTTTCCGGCTGCGGGTTCTGCGGGGTTTGCAGGTTCTGGAGTTGGGGATGGTTGCACCTTGAGATGGGATCTGTTTAAGCCAGCCCAGCGGGCCTGTAGGCTGGGACAGATGAGAAAGAAAACAAAAGAAGACAAAGTTGATGAGGAAGAGAGTGAGGGAGAGATAGGGAGAGCATACAAAGACAGAGAAGGCACAGAACCTGGCAGATATATAACCAGACTGTGGCCAGCACAAGTGTGCCACTGAAGACTCCTTTGACCGGGGGTAGATATATACTTCATGTCAAGCTTGGACAAGAAGGATGCCCGGAAGAAAGGAACGAGTCTAAGAGTCTTTCTGCTTTCGATCCTTCGATGTATATTTCGATCTTTGTAGCTTTTTGGCATGTAGAAGTGCCCCCGGGGTCACCGGGTATGGTTGTGGTCTTGCGCATGTTCCCAACACGGTGACGGTGACGGCCGTGGATGTTCGCAACACGGTTGGACGACGGTGGTCCGGCCTCCCGCTGGCCAGGTGCGCTTCCCGGCGCTGGTGAACCACGGCGACGGCACCTTCACGCGCTTCTTGGCGTGTGAGCGATGTAGAGGTGGCAAAGAGTTCTTGCAGGCGTGGGAGCGGCGGTTCCCAGGGTGGCCGCTGGGTGGTGACCGTTGGATGTGTGGAGGAGTTGGAGTTGTTTTTTTCCAGCTGAGACCGCGTCTTCTATGGGCTGAGGGTGGTAGAATAGAATCTTGAGTGATGAAACCTCCAGGTGAAGAGGTTTTAGACCAAGGGGCTGTCCAGTGGGTACATGGGGCAGAGTTTTAACATGTTTTAATCCTTTGCCCTTTTTCCCCACTTACCAATCTCCAAGTCAGCCGTCTACTTTGACTTAAGTTCTGTAGCGACATAAAACACCTCATCGCCTCAACTGGGCTTGCAGTTTAGGTAGGATACAGGGGGGGTGGCAGAACCAAGGAACCAGGGAATCTCATTTGTTTAAAGAGCCCAGGTTCCTCAGTTCCTCCTTTCGAAAAAGGACCGAGGAAGGCTCTCCGGACGTCCGAGGATTTCGCGCTGCCTGCCCCTGCGACGCGTTGCAGGTGTTGGACATCGATCCTCGTAGCTTCTCGGGTTTGCAGCCCTTGCCTTCGCCCCAGTGGCAGCGTGCGACGCCCGCGCCCGCGCCGCGGACGCCGCTGTGCTACGATGTGGAGTGGATGGCACTGCAAAAGGCCGGGCGGCAAAACGCGACCGCGACCGTTGAGGTGGGACAAAGGCCGGTGAAGCAGGGAGCCCGTTTGCAGTGAAAGCTGAACTCCATTCCCTTTCAGTGGGCAGTGGCAACCATGCTAGCTGGGAGTTCCTGAAGCCGAGCCCCACGGCGGTGTCTCTCGATGACCAATCACGCACCGGCCGGCCAATGTTGGTGGGGATACTGGGAGACTGGTTACTTGCCCTAGTGCTCCAGTCGTACCTCCTCAGAAGGTATGACTGGACCCTCCAATCTCACCCCAAACACCTTCTTAGAAGGTGCGACAGGAGCCCTGGGATTAATTGCAAGTGCACATCAGTGATTGTAATCGCTTTGTTTGAGAGAGAAATGTAGGCCGAACCTCAAAACAGAATCTCATGGAACCCCCGCTGCCCGTAGCCCCTGTTGATACCATCACTTATTCAATCCTTCCCAAGAACCGTACGGGCCCACCTATTTTTCAGCGCAATGCAGCCAGGTCAATCACGAGCAGCTTGGAGAAGGGGGAGTCGGATGCTTTTGGGAACTGATGTTCCACGTGCTGGAGATTTGGGGGGCCAAAGTCAGTGAGATGCTTGCCAGTAGCAACCCTTGCCCTTGCCAGTAGATGCGTCGAATCCATGTTGTCACGGGCACGTGACTTGGATGCGAATTGGGGCGTGACCCACGCAGCCTGGAGCCGGAGACGTCAACCGATGCCCAGTGAAACTGAAGGATCGTGGGAAGCGCTCAGACAGAGATCCGCAAGTATCGTTGGGAGGTCAATCAAGGTATAACCCACAACTCTTGGGGTGTTTATAAGCACCTTCTGAAGATCCGGGACGGGAGCCCTAATGCCTAAGGTATAATTACAACGAGCAAAGTCTTGAGTGTGACCCCTCCGAGGTCTCTTGGTTCGCATGTCCATGGTCACTACCCAGAGGCCACCGACCCACAAACTGATACGTGTTTGAGGTCCAAAGCCCTACCCTGGGCTCCAAGTACCTCAGAAGGTATTTGGACCCTCTAAACCCACCCCAAACACCTTCTCAGAAGGTATTTGAGGTCCAAAGCCCTAGCGAACGAGTCCCAAACCCTGAGCCTCCAGTCGTTCGCATTGCCCAGTCCCCGGCCGGGTCGATTTAGCACGCACCGGCCATGGCCGGTCGGTTTGGATCGTGGATGCTGTACCCAAACACTCCATGTGTGCCATATTTGCATACATTGGGGTGGTTTCAGGGGTCAATGTAGGCATACCTAGAAGATCCTTTGGGCAGAAATTCTTGCCTTTTTCGGGAAGAGCGGCTCTTCCCGTCCTGGGGCGGAAATCAGCTGTTTGCCGCGGAAATGTTTTTGTTGCCGCGAATATTCCCTTTCAGGAATCCAGTGAGACAAAGACTACATATTCTAGAGGAGTTGAATATCTTTGTGGTTTACATTGGGCATTTCTGCCTGGAACAGTCACCGCAATGAGAAAAAACAATTTGCAGCGCTTAAGTTGCCACCTCCACCTGTAAATCTGGCTACCATCACATCATATAGGTGTCTTTGCTTTTGAAGGTTTCTTGTGCGGAATGATCACAAAAGGACTAAAATCAGTCTAAAGTTGAAAACACCTGGCGCAAAAATGCCCGGGAAAAAGGCAGAAATACCCGGGAAAGAGGCGGAAATACCCGGGAAAACGGCGCAAATACCCGGGAAACCGGCGGCAATTTCCTGGTATTAGGCGGGATTCAAGAACAGTGCCTTTGATGCCTTTGAAGGGCTTGAACATATGTCGCAGCCTCTTTGTGAATGTCATGAATTTAGAAGGTGTCAGATCTTGAGATGTGAAGCTATGCAGAACGGTATGTGGTCTGCAATCATGGAAGAGACAACCTGGTAGGTTGTAATGGTTTTTGAGTTGCTATGTTGGATTTTGCTTGAGGCAAAAACTCCCTGCTGCCCGCGGAAATTCCTACCTGGCGCGGATTTCCCTTAAATCCGCGAATCCTCCCGGGCAAACCGGACTGAGGCAGAAATTTCTGCCCCAGGTGCTTCTAGGTATATTCCATACATGGAGCGTCTGGGGTAGTTTTTGACATCTTTGGATGCGACAGACCGGGACCACTCGGTTTCGCCGCACAGACGTCTGCCCGACCGGTCGCCAGCGAGGAATATTTCCTTTACTTGGCATCCGGCCAAAGCCCGTGTGCTGGTGCCCAGCAAGGAGAGCAACATAGACCAACTACGCACCAGCTTGTTGATGTCGTGAAGGGTGGACCTCATACATGGCTAGTAGGGTGGATGTTAGTTAAAGCCGAGAAAGCTTGTACACCTTTTGCAAAATAGTCTTCTCCCACCAGAATGATCCAGTTGAGACTACAGACTATAGTAACTACAAATTACAAATTATATAAGTTACTCAAGTGCGCTCGTTATTGCTGTATGATCATGAGCTATGAATTCCTTTAGCATGCCAACTCAACTTGACCCCCCCACACACGGACAATCTCACCATCACCTCAAATCAACGCAGCCACAGACTGGTTGTGCAGTGATTGACATGTTCCATGGAGACAGCACCTAATTATACAACCGAGCACTGAGATGGTTCAGTTGGACAACATTGAGAGGTACCCTGCTTTCTTCACCAAGACCAAGACCTGCTTTCGCTCGGTCGACACGACTGGGTACTACACAGACAGTCTGGTTCCTGGTTGCTTCGGTCACGTGATGCCTCCTAAGCCCTATGGATCCACATACCTTCTGAGAAGGTGATTGGAGACTATTTATGTAGGCTTGGAGGGTCCAATTACCTTCTGAGAAGGTGGCAGTGGATCCACAGGGAAGGGTCACTGAAGGAACATCAACGGAACCTTCAAAAGGTCACGAACTGAAGAAGCTGGTTGTGCATGGTTTGAGGCTTCTTCATCTCAGACCACCCAGGGCCCCAGAAGCCACTGGATGCCAGGGCACGCCACCACCCCGGCCCCAGAGATCCGCCAGATGTCCCGTTTTTCATTGAGCCGAGATCCAGAACCATCCCGGTGTTGATCAACTAACTGTGAAGCTTGGATCTTTGCAAGGGCAACAATCAAGGTACATAGCTGCTGGCTGGAGAGTGGCCATTGCTGTTACCACATCATCAGCCGTGGCCACTCCTGTCGCATTCCACCAGGAGGACCTCGCATGGATCCAGAAGCGTCTCAAGGCGGCCTGCGGCGCCGTGGCGCGCGCGGGCGGCCAGAGACGGCACCCCAACTTGACGCCGACGAAGATGCGCAAGAGCCGCGGCACCGGCAGGCACGCGGTCGCGCTTGGCCCAAGATCGCGACCCCTTGCGTTTTCCGGGTTGCTGGGGCTCATGAGAGGATGAGATTAGGGGGAAGGAGGGGTCCCCTACCAAGAAGTGGATTGGTTTCAAGACATTTCGAGGCCAAACGGGCCCCCCTTCGCCTCCAAACTGTGTTCTTGGGACAAGGACCGACCAAGGAGGACGATTTGGGGGGCTGGTGGGGTGGAGGTTGAAGTCGGTGGACGCGGTCTCTCAGTTCACCCCCGAAAACGGTGTTCTGCTGTTTTGGCTGACTCCGATCAGTCAGGGCTCCACAGGCTGATGAAGAGGTGTCACTGTTGTGTTTTTCTTCTCCCAAGGTTGGGTGTATTTGCAAGCATTTCCAAGAGGTGCTCACCTGAGTGGACCATACTGGCCCTGAAGAATCGAGCAGCAGACTCTTCTTAGACTCTTGATATGTTGACCCAGGGCTGGAGAGTGTTTCAAACTCAAATGAGGGGCAGGGTATGTCGTTGTATCAATAGTTTCTTTTTGATCACCCAAGCTCCGGTCCTTGAACGCGCCGAAGCTGCTCCAGGCAGACTTTCCAAAGCTTCTCCACACTCCAGTTGCGTGAGCTCTTTGAGACTTGGCATCTTCTTCATGGGCGGCTTAAGCACCCTGGGAATCCAGAACCACCAATCCAAGTATAGGATTTCTTTCAACCTTGAGTTCTGTGACATGATGTCGATGTGCCAAATAGGAATGGATTGTTGAGACATGCTCATTTGACACCAGCATGCCCCCCACTGGGTGTGTATTTCTTTGCATTTAGATAGGGAGACCTCACAGTTCCACCCCCCTGAACAACAGACCAAGGGGGTTGTATCCTCCATCCCTATGAACATGCACACCCATACATGACCTGCAGTTGTATCCTCCATCCATCCCATACATGACCTGTTGTATCCTCCATTGTATCCCTCATCCCTTTGCTGATGCACCTCCAGTCCCAGTACCTCCAGCCCCCCCTTCGCTCCGGATCCGTGCTTGTCTAGGAGCTCGGCCACCGTCTAAACCAGTGGGTGGTGTGCAACAGAACAGGCGTCGTCTAGGGGCTACCCCACCCCAGTTAAGGAAGGAGCTAGGCTTGGTGTTGCTTTTAGAGTGATTGTGTGGTTTTCTCCCTGTAAATCCCCTGAGCTTGAGGAACATGTGTTGATGTTTTCATAGTTTTCTTGGGTGTGTGTTGCCGCCCCAGGAGATCCGCGGGCTAGACTTCCCCGGGCACTTGGATAAGGCCTCGATGATCGCGCGCCCCTCGGTGTTGACGTGGCACGTATGTGATACGCCTCTTCTAGGACCAGACTCTTCATGACTCCATAGTTGATCTAAAGGGCCGTGTAGTGGGGATCTTATAAACAGCACAAAAACCGGGCAGGTCTGGGAATCCATTCAGCGGCAGGACTTATACGTTTGAATCTTTTTGTTTGGTCTAAGTCATTCTTTGGGGTGCCAGTCCTTCACCTTTACACATCCTAAAAATCGACCGAAAACTGATGCTCACTGAGGTTGAAGAACCCTATAGGCTATCTATCGCACTTCGGTACCCCAGGTTATGGCCCTAGTTCAGCTGATCAAGGGATTTGTTATTTTCTCATAGTAGGATCCCTATAGGTAAAATCCCTTCTATTAGAGAAGGATGTGTTTTAATACTTCCCAGTTCCTTAAGCAGATGACCTGGTAGACAGTCTGAGGCCTGGAAGCATTTGATGCCAAGCATGGCGAGGAGGAGCACTGGAAGGACCCAAAAAGAAGAACGGGTGTGTTCGGCGGAACCATGTGGAGGGGGGGGCGGAAGAACGGGGGACGTCGGAACCCACCTGTGTTTGGGTGAGACAAGGGTCAATGGTGGCATCTATTCCACACATGGAACTGCGCACCTGCGCGTTTCCGTTTCTCCCTCGTTCCAGGAAGCCGACGTGTCCTACCCGATCCCCTCGGAGTTCATCCCGGGTCCGGCCAAGCAGCCACGTGGCACTCGTTCTCGTGCTCGTGAAGCGTGGAGCGGACGAATGAGAAGAGGTGTTTTGAACATCGAAACTGTTGTGATTGCTACTTCTGAGATCTTCGATCGTCATGTGTAGTCTTTGAGGCCTATGTTTGATTTGGCCACGGGTTCCAAGCCCTAATGGTTGACTTATTGTTTTGTGTTTAAGTTGGGAGTTTGTGAACATCATAAAACGCTTCTGAAAACATGTTTGATCACACGGAGCACTTTAGAAATGGATGAACCAATGCCTCCATTGAATCTTAAGCCTTAGCATTTAGGATGAGCCCTTTTGTGGATCAACTAGGCTGCACTAGTAGGCCAATCGCTAAAACCTTGCCGCTGGAGAGGGGGGAACAAACTCACAATGTGGGCATCAAGAACACCATCTAACTCACGTGACCCATCTAACTCACGTGACCCCCGGGGGCCTGCGACCGCCCGTTCGCAGATCCCGTCCAATCCATCGTCCGAAATCGCCGCCGGCGGATCGACGACGGTGTGCTGGAGAGAAACCGTCGAGAAACCGTCGACCCGGTCGAGCCCAGGCGACAGCGGATTCTGGACATGTTGGAGCTTCCCGACATTTGGAAGGACCCAAATGTCCACCTCTTTAGGCGGGTCTCAGGCCCCGGCGTAGAAAGTTGGGAATGAGGCCAAGCTAAGCTGGGTGGTTTTGTGGCGATCCTTTTGAAAGGGCAGAAGGTGTCGTTACTAGGTGGATTTTGCGTCAAGAAAACCTCCCAGAGATAAAATTCAATTGTGGAATGACACCCGTATGGCCCCAAACTAGGTCACGAATTCACTTCAGAGCGGACAAGCATGGACAAGCTAACAGGCTCAGACCTTTTTGGCACTCCCTGAACTCATCAAAAGTGGATTGGCATCCCAATGGCCTCCATATTGGCCATGGTTCCACTTCCATGATTTTCTTGCAAAAACCGTACTCTCCTCACCCAATGGCCATCCTCACTCCACCACGCCAGGACCAGGAGGAGCATCGCAAGAACCTGCTGCGTGCCGCCCGCGGAGAGCCCCCAGAGGAGCGGGTCGAGCGTTTCCTCTGAGTCAACGCCCCTAGGAATACTGAAGATGGAACACAGAAACCCCCTTTAAAATGCACTAGGATGCTTGACGAACCTGGATGAAGTTGCAGAAAACCAATCGAAAACCGCCAGGGGCCTGAGGTGTCCTACAGACAACCACGGTGGGACGGAGGAAATGCATGAATCTTGGAGTCCATGTTGCCCTGAACACAACTCACTGGGAGGTTCCGAATCAAGACTTCGACACTGAACAGATGAGTCACTGAACAGATGAGTACAGCTTGGTGAAACATGTTCAAGCCCTGAGTTTTCCAAGGAAACTGAGGGAGTTGAGCCGAAATCGCCGGTGAACCCAAGTACTGTAAGGGTTGTTGTGAGATGGTTGAAGTTGATGCCTTTGGAATGGCATCCTGCGCCTCCCCAGCACATCCAAGGAGCCCGCCAAGCCTGAGGCAGAGGCGCAAGAGGGCCAATTGGAAAAGCAATCAGTCAGCTGCGGGAAGGACCCTGTAATAGCAAAGAGACGCAAACGGAACAGATGAAAGCGACGAGAAAAAACCGATGCTATCTTTCATTATTTCATTCAAGACATGAGGGGCTACAATGAAAATGGGGTGGTTAGGTAAATGTTAATTAACATATAATAAATCCGTACGTGAGAAAACCACCTTAGACGTATCAATGTCGTACCCCCCGTCTAACATGGTCAGGAAACAAACCCTTGTTTTTCATTGTAGACACCAAATTTGGGGTCTACTCTGTTTACCTGAGGTCCCTTGGAAGTAGTTGCCAGTATAATATTAAATATTGATAATATTGGACTCTATCACTTCGTTGTAATAAGTTGAGGTCACAAGCAGAGTCCTGGTGTCAATGAGCGAAGCAAAGCACCCACTTCATCCAAGGCGAAGTGACTGGCAAGTCACCGTCCAGTTCCAGCGAATCCGATGACGACGTCGCCTTTGCGTTGCAGAGCGCGGCGCAACCCGCGGCGCAACCTGCAGCGCAACCCGCGGCGCAACCCGCGGCGCAACCTGCAGCGCAAGCCGCAGCGCACGCCGGGGCGCAAGCCGCGGAGACGGCACAGGAGGAGGTGGAGTTTTGGCAGCCGGATTAGTGAAGAAATCGCCAGACACGACAAGTGGGACTGGAATCCATGCCTATTTTTACATTGACTCCTTTTATATAATTATGCCAGTCCCATGAAGTGTTTGGGGTTTATAGGAAGAAGATGAACGCGTCGAGCCTATGGGTGGCTCATAGAGGAATATGCTGTCGGAGTTTAGCATGATGGTGGGTTTGGTATGAGCTGGCAGGTGTTTGCTTGGGATTGGGTTCGGTTTTGATCGGGGTAGTATGGGGTATTGCGGTATTGCAGTGGCGGCTGAAGGTGACCTTGGTGGCTGGCAAGGCCTTGCTACGTATTCAGGAAATCAAGTGTTCACCAAATCTCAGTGCCCCTTATCAGTTTCTGGTCAGTAGATCTAGTTCCTTTCCCCGCCTTGGCCATTCTTCTACCAGTTTAGTAAGTTGGGGTCCCAGTCATGGTTCAATTCCACCACAAGTCACCGTTCCTGTCCTCACACAAAAGGTTTCCCCCAGTTTGTAAGTTTGTAGGCGAAGGCTTGACGCCAGGGTTCAAGTTTATGCTTGGGGTGCGGGGTTGCGGTCGCGTTCAGCTTCATTTTGCCGTGGTATATGTAATCCAAAAGAGATGCTGCTTCTACATCAACGAAGCTACTGAGTCGACTTGCCAGAAAAACAAGAACAACTCCAACGCAGCAGAACCACGCAGTTGAATCTTCACAGATGTATGCCTTGCAGATCTATGTGTGCCCAACCTGGTAACTTGGGGAACTTTTGCCATTTACTCATGGGGATGGGTTTCCCATCGACTGCGAAGCCTCAAGGGGCTTTGGGATGTCAAATGCGGTTCATATGGGTTCTGAAGCCGCTGGGCGACCGTACGGCTTGAGCAAGGTGCCAAAAAGGATCAACAAAGTCCCTGGGGCTCCAAGTACCTCCTCAGAAGGTGTTTGGACCCTCCAAACCCACCCCAAGTGTATTGGTTCATGTGGTGCATTTGGGCATTCACCGTTTGGTGGAGTGAAAGCCACCCGTTTGGCCCTCGGAGAGCTAGAACTCATCCAAACGAGCTCGGGGCCATGTTCCCATCCACGGAAGACTGATTCTTTCAGGGACGTGTAGAGTTTTCCTGCACCTCGGATACCCTATAAGCCAGGCCCCTTTCGCAGCCTTTTTCGATGAGGTGGGTTCCAATTCCATGTGTCGAGTGAACACCCCTACCCCCGTACCGAAGTACGTGTGGATCACCTGCTCCCGGAGGTGAGGTCGAACGAAATCCATCCCAGACACTCCATGCATGCCTGCGTCGTCAGCACCGTCAACAACTGGCCCATTGCCACCAACAGTGCCACCAACCACCCATGCTGACAATAATAGAAATACGGTGACCCCCGAATAGATGGAAACATACCAGCACCTTCCTTACGGGGTCACCTGGCTGGAAGCCTTGACGCTACGCATGGATCTCCAGACAGGACACCCCGACAGGAAGATCCGGGTATATGTTTAACTCACATGCTCCATCAATGTTGAACTCACAATATGTCCCTTGGAACCCCTAAAAAAACACGCAAACATAATTAAAATATTACATATATATATATACCTGAACCCTCCGTCGTAGCAGAAAAAAGTGACAGAAAAAAATCTGCACATCATCAACAAAGTGTTCATGCCTTGAAAAAGCGTACCACTGGAAAGTCAGATGTAGCTTCATTCCACCTTATGTTATGTGGCCTTCAAGTCCATTCCCCTGCCACATGCTGGCACCCGTCCCATGCACACACAACACACGCTCACACACTACGAAGCGGCAGCCAGCAACCCCTTTCTTTGATCATCAGTATCAACATAAAATATGTAAAATAACAATCCGCCACTTTTTAAAATTGCGCCCGGGTTGCGGGAATTTGCGCCCGGGTTGCGGGAATTTGCGCCCAAGTTGCGGGCACCCTTTTTGGAAAAATTGTTGTAAAGCACGCCCAGAAGGTTGGAACCAAACCTTTGTGGTTTCATTTGCACATACTACTATTAGAAGAGATCATATAGGATTTCCACCCGGTCCATAGGGCCCCCAAAGGCCCACAAGGGTTGATAAGGACACTGGTCAGGAACCAGTAGGCTTTAGAATTTACATCACCAAAAAGCGCTCATATGTCCTGAAAAGTGTACATACCCTCAATTAACGCTCAAACTTCCAATAAGTGCTCCAAACCATGGTTCGCCAGAAATAAGTGCTACAAAGGATGCTTCAGGTATATATATATATATATTAGTTGGTCCATTGGTAACCCAACCTTTGTCATCGAGGACTGGGAGCCCGATGAGGACGAAACGCGACCATGTGACCAGGTCGAGGTCACGCCGGTGGAGCCTTGGCGTAGAGCCCCCCCGCTTGGTAGTGCCCTAGGGATCCAGTCGTACCGAACCCACATGGCCCTCGGTACGACTGGACCCGACCAGGGTACCTACATGTCGCGGTGTCTCCTTCCGTTTTCGTACCTGAGAAGGTACGAAAACGGAACCCTAGGGCTGCTAGTGCAGTCTTTCAAGAAACCTCCAGGATCCTTGTAGCACTTGAGCTATAGCCGAGTTTCTTCATACATTTAGACTCGAGTGCTCAAGTGCTCAGATCCTGAGGGCTCAAGTGCTCAGATCCTATAGCTCAAGTGCTCAGATCCTCGTGTGCTTTGTAGCCTTGAGTGCACTGGGACCTTAGGGCTCAGTATGTAGAGATTGGCTCGAGTCTCACAGACTCATCCAATACATTAATGGTGGCTGCCCTACATTGGCTATTTGAGGAACATGTCCAGTCCCCAATAACCCAGACACTCCATCAGACTGGAATATTTGCCACCCTATTGACCCCTCTGGCACCACCCCTGGCCTGATCGGCAGTCCTATGCCAGTCTCATCAGTCGCGTTTGGGTGGCACGGACTGCGAACTCAGCCGAAAGAGATTTCGATCCCCAAAGTGATCACGCCTACATAACATATAATATGTGCATGGTCCATGGTCATATTTAGCTATATAGCATCCTAAATGGCTGTTGCAGGCGTTTGCGTGTATTAAGATGCATTAAGTATATCCGTTCACCTGGGACACCACTGTGAAGAGCTTTCCATTTCAGGCGGAGCCAGCAGCACAGACAGCTGAGCCTGTGCAGCCGGTGACGGAGCAGCTGACTTTGGAGCTTGAGGACCTGAAAAGTGCAGGTCTTTCTGGGAGGGGGGCGTTATGCTTTTTACTGGTTTTTGCAGGTTGGGATGTTTTTGGATGCCTCCTTCTCAGGAGTGGGGTCTTGTGCGCAGCGGCGCCATTGGACAGGGTTGCTGTCGAAGGGTTGCTGTCACCGCGAGAAGCAGAAGGAACCCACCACCTTCCGTATGGGGAATCGTAGCAAGACTAGATTCCAACGAAACTTTCCGAATAGCCTCAAAGTGCCCAAGTCCACCTTCCGTGAGGTCTTAACTTTTCGTTTATGTGTTGAATTATGTGTATCTACTTTTCGTGTACAGTGTAAATGTATTCTCCTCTATTTTTGTATCATTTGTCTAAGTTGGACCATTGGAGCTACCGAGCTACATGAGGCAGCCGGGGCAGGTGCCTTGAGCACGGGCGCTGACCTCGATTCTCAGGAGCCTGACCAAGCCCGCGTGCCAGAAGAGCCTGACCTAGCCCAAGCCCGCGTGACCTGGTTTGGAGAAGGGTCAGGGAAGTTTTTCCATGTGACCAGATCCACGCTGCACCCGAACAAAACGAAGAAGACCGGTGTTCAACAGAGGATGAACACCGGTGCCGGTCTCGACCGGAGTCGAGTCTTTCAGGTCAACTCAGTTTGAGAATCGGTACTTCGGCTTGACGCCAGGGAGTTGGAGAATCCACTTAGAGATCTTACCTTAAGTGGAAAGAACACTCCAGCAACTCTATACATCCGACCTCCGCATTGGGCGCACCCAGCACCACCAGGCTGTGAACTGTTCCCATGAGGCATTGTTGAAGCAGCCGCTGAAGCGCGCTTCTTGCACCGTGTTCAGGATGGACACGTTCCAACGCCTAGGTTGGCCTTAAAACACTCTACCTGGACCCAACGCTTTGAACGTTAACTCTACACCCCCGGGTATTGTAGAGGAACATGGAAGACCCAAGGGGCCATACATGGCCATAGAATCCACGTAACCATGTTAGTTCCTGGGAGTGTGCATGGTTCGAAATAAGGTGACTTCCTTTACTACAAGCTACTGTCTACTGTTGGTTTCTCCTCCATTCGTGTGGACCTGGGATGACAAGACTGATTTTTCCAGCAAGTGTTATATGTATCCTCGGGCCAAGCGAGCAGTTTGTACATCTACGATATTCTGTGTTCACCTCAGGGCCGGCATTGCATGGATCAAATGGAGCTCCTACAGATTGTTTTTTGCCATCATAGATTCTACGAACTGGTCATGTCTTGCTGAAGGATGGTCAATTCATGTCAATTTGTTCGGATTGCACTCATCTCCACCGGGCACAAATGAATTGGGTGCAATCTTTGATTTGGGATATCAGGGTATAACATCCTATATATTGTGTAATATATAATATATATATATAATAGTACTGGTAATGCCAGCATACGGTCGCTAGGACTTAGAAGACCTTTTGTTAATATGGTTGTTGATGCCCGATGCGATGGAAATCCACCTACTGTACCTGGGGAACTGCCACTGTTGAGCGATGCACAGTCTGAATCGAGTTGAGGCGAAGGAGGTGGAAGTGATTGAGATCCCTGCAGTGGAGCTGAAGTCCCATGAGCAGGTGGAAGAGCCTACTACACGACTTTTGTTGGCCCCAAAGCAAGAACTCTTGGGCTCAAGGGATGTTGTTTACTCGGAGTGTTTACAAAGGATTTTGCGGGGGAATGGCCCGCCCCCCGTTTTTGCATGTTTTTGCACTAAACCAAGAACTCTTGGGCTCAGTTTTCTGACTTGGTTTGCAAGGAGTGTTTGCAAAATAATGTTTGAGGGGGGAGTTGAACGCTGGAACCCATCATTGGATTTGGCCACATACAGACTGAGGAGGCGTGTGATGAGTCACATTCTCCTCCTCGACTCTCTCTCTCTCTCTCACTGATTCTCCGGCTAATTGGCCATAGATTCTAGCCTGATTGGCAACATCGCACATGGCTGAATGCTAATGAATACACATGCTTTTGGCTACAGCACAATTGGTACTAGGCAAAACGTTCGAAGATCGGCAAAACGGGTGCCGTATCTTCTCATCTCCCAGGTGGGTTTGGAGCTGAACACCTCTGCCCAACTGCTGGCCGAAGCGCTCATGAGCCTCGGGGATGAGGAGACAGCGGAGACGACGTATCGTCTCCGACGTGTCGTCTCCGACGTGGGGCGGCGCCCCTGGGGTGGCTGCAGTCAGCGGTCAGGTCATCGTCAACTGAGTGACGCCGTCCCATGTTCTCAGGGTTTGTGGGACGGACCGATACGCTTGGATATGTTGACCTGTGAGAGACCGATGAGACCTTGAACCACCCCGACCCCGACCCCAGCTCTGCACGATTGGACTGAAGACCAAGTGACTGTGAACTCCGATGCAAAGCTGAAACACTGAAAAAGGTTCTGAACATGCACGAGCCAGGCATCAAACACAGATCATACAAATCATGGAGGTGCATAGATGCCGCAACCCCCCAGACTGGCACCTGCAAGTCTAAATCCGGCCTTGGCTGTGACGGTCGGCCCACCTTCTTTGCTGCCCAACCGGCAGAGAAGGCACCTCCTTCTCGACGGCGGAGGGGACGAGAGTGTATACCACCCAAATACTCACTCAGTCCTACTTCGCATGGTCACAGTGCAAGTCCCCTGCTGGGGCACCTTGGAAATCGGAAAGGCCACTTGGTGAGGGCGGCCAGCCATCATAGAATGTTCGGCTCTTGGCAAGCTGTTTTGACGTGATCGGCTTGCTTGGCGGAGCCACCCTATAGCTTTCCTCCATGTGCTTAGCTGCAAAAGGGGCAGTGGCTAGGACACACACCAGGTCAGTGGTGTTGGAAATCGCCCAACAGCAACCCTTGACATTGCCCAGGTTATCGCTATATAGTGGTAAAGTCATTGGCCACCGTGCCTGCTTCATGGGGCAAGATTGATCACCTTGCAGCAACGTGCTGACGACAAATCACTTGGCCACCTTGTTCAAGGTGCCACTTGGGCAGGCAACGTTGGCCACCTTCCAACAAGACGCCAATGACAAAAATTACAGTATATAATGAATTGGATTGCCAGGCAGGCAAGGAGTAGGTGACCTCAAGTTCCACAAAGCTAGAAGCTGCCTGACAAACAAGTGAACCGCACGCGCACACACACACACCCACTCGTTGCCAGGAGGAGGAAGGCCTGTTGAGCTCGGCAGTGGAGGACTGCCTCCGCCACAGAAGCCTCTAACGTTCGGTGATACCAATGTGAAGAACCACCGATACGTGGGGGGCTCATGGTCTCCTCTCAAGTGTTTTGTGAACAAAGTAGGGGTCAAGCGGTCAAACTGAGTGCCAACCTGCCTCGAGACCTGTCGCAATGCCACGAAGCAGCCAGGAGGAGGATGCAGGAAAGGAGCCAATCGATGATCCTGTGGAGGCTTGTTGACTCAGAAAGCTGCACATGAATTCTCAGATTTCTAAGCTACTGTACTTCCCTAGGGCTCCAACCATATCCTCAGAAGGTGGTTAGACCCCCCAAACCCACCCCAACCATCTTTTCAGGAGGTGGTTGGAGCCCTAGGGCTTATAGATTCACCCTCAGGGCATTTTGTTTTGTTTGCTTGCACTGTTCTTGATTCGCTACTTCCACATAGGGGAGATCCCGAACAAGATGATCACTTGACCAAAAAAGGAAAAATGTTCAGTCGCTGACCTTTGGACAACCAGCAAGACTAGCAGGGGCGCAGGGGCCTTAAAAGCGTTATATACATAAACTATGACAGAGACGGAAGTTAACGGAAGCCACTATAAGATTGCCTGTTTTAACATGTTTTAACAACATGTGTTTACATTTATCCATTCATGTCCTGAAGCCCCTTCAGTTTCGACTCCAAGTCACCTGCACCTGCGCCTTCCTGCTGTCGTTGTTCCCATGCAAGGCCTTGGAGGCGGAGGCTGCTCAACTGGAAGAAGAGGCACCAGTTTCCCGGACCCCAGACCATCCAGCTCTATATTCACCCTTTCGGCCTCCTTGGAGTCAGGATGTAAGGGATGAAGCCTCCTTGGAGTTAGACGTGTCCTCCTTGGAGCATGTTGGTGCCACTGAGATTTGACCGAACGTCGTGACGTTGTACCCGCCAACGTGGACCTTCGTTTTAGGGAGATTGGGCTCTCCACGGTCACACGCCGCGGAAAAACCACCACTGTGTGGTCAGGGGCGATATCAATGGCGGTTGTGGATGTTGGATGGTCTAGTCCCGGATCCCAGCCACGACCAGCAGAAGCCAAAAACGACATATCCAGAATCTAGCATGTCCTTGGGCTTTGTGTTGGAGGGAAACTGATGAACTTTGTGATCCCAAGTGACGCCTCAACCCCATTACAGAAAAGCCTCTGGCCATTCACTTTTGAGCCTCAATGACTGAATGCCCTCCCAAGGCTCCACTGCCCACAACATGCAGTTTGTCACCTATCCCGTGACCCTCCTTGGGGCTCCGGATATACCCCTCCTCAATTCAAGACTCTTGGTGAACCATTCCCAAATTGGTGATTTAGATACCATCCTGCAGCATGCAGATTAACATGGACCCTGCAAACTAGGGTGGTACACGAGACCAGTCATACAGGATCTTACAGGGGTTCATTTTCACGGCCCATGTGACTTTGCAGAGGGGTCTATGGCCTATATGGCTTTGCCCCAACATCGCAGCATTGCTTGGTGACTGGAGGTCTTTTGGGGAACCTGAACCACGTCAACCCTTCACCACTCGGGTCAGAGGCCGCCGGCTTCGCAGCTTTGGCTTTGGCCTTGGAGGAAGCTGAGCGAGACTTGGGCAGAAAGGCTCCATCCGAAGCGATCTGCTGCGCTCGTCGGAGTCGCACCGAACTGTCGTATCCGAAGTCGTCTCCGAACTCGCACTGAAGTCTTTTCGGTCCCAGGAGGAGCCAGGAGGGTGCAGGAAAATACAGAGCCTGAGGAGGTCTTTTAACCCTACAGTCCTCAATCATGATGGAAGTGGAGCGAGCGAAAACCACCTGCTTGGTCTTCGGAGACCTCATGGTCCTCCGAATTGCCCATCCACGTATCCACCCTGATGATGTAAGAGAGCAAATCAATCCACCAAACCCGACGTAGACTCGCAAGATATCTTAAGAGATTTTACAATTCCTCCAGAGTTTGCATGAAGTACGTTCGACTTTGGGGGTGCTTGGAGCTCTGCTCAGGAGAAGAGGCTGAAGCTGCGGAAGCCGCACCTTCTCCGCCTGTGAGGCAGCTGACATTGCTGGGGTGGCCCAGAAGGAGTCCGCTGGGTATAGATCGAATCGTATATCTATAGAAATGGACTATGCCGAACATTGACCAGCTAAGCTGTCCACTCAAGCACACCATCAGGGAAAATCTGACCTACACATATTGCCTATACACGCAAAGCACCGCAAGAAGCTCCCCAAAGAATGCGATAGGAAGCTCAATCGGAGCGTTACATGATCAGACTTTTTTTTCCCCACCTGCCAGGCAGGTGAGGGTTGTTAGATTTTATCACAGTTGTCCTTCCTCCGCCTCCGCCGCCTCCTCGTCCTCCTCCTTCCTCCTTCCTCCTTGCTTCCTTCCTCGCCAATCTGCTTCGCCGATCTTGTCTGGCCAGCTCCGGATCGCAGTGTGCACCCCTGGACCTCAACCGCAAGGATCCCCTCGCAGTGTGCACCCCTGGACCTCAACCGCAAGGATCCGATCGCAGT